AAAGGGCAAATCACTGCTCTTTTTATTGAGAACACTGTTCGCTTTAACTAATTACTTCACTTTATTTAACTCATTAGTTTGTTAGGTAAATGACAATTCTAATCTCAGAAAAATGCATTTTGATTAGAATCCAGTCTTAAATTTTGAAAGATACCACATTAAATACCTTCCACAGGCTCTTTCTGAGCAGGCGCAAATACAGCAAAGTCAAACATTTACACATGTACATGCAACTTATGTCTTGTTGAAGCTAAATTGGGAGGCAATACCAGTCTCTAATATGGAAAAAGATAAATATTTATAGATCACAATAACCTTAAGGCAGTAACTACAAAAGAGAACTTTAAATAAATTTTTATTTCAAATGTATAGCAAGAAAAATCTTCTGTGGGCAATCTTGCCAGCTAATTCCAAGTGGGTGCAGCAAGACCCATACAACTTTGCACCCCACGTGTGAGCATGTGGGACAGACATGCGCTGGGCACACACGTGGGCACCGGCAGAGGCTCACAGGGCTGTCCTAATTGTTCTCATTCTTCAGCCTTGGCTCCCAATCCACCTCCTCATGCAGTCGTCCCAGAACACGTGGTCCCCGCTGAGCTCCCTGTCTCTGAAAACCTGTGGTGTTTTCAATCTTTGCTATATGGTTTAGAAGGTAATGCTTTTCTATTATTTTATTAAGTGAATTTTATTGCCTTGGCTATATCACAGCATAACCTCCGTTATATTCCCAACAGCACCTAATAGAGCTGGGTGCATGGTCAAGGCTTAATTCATATTTGTCCATTAGTTAAACCAGCACCAGCAGTTTTGGATTGGACTATCCACCAAAAATAAAGACAAATTTGTACCCTTTCTCAGCCCCTCTAATATTTTCAGCTCTATGTGTGTGTGATTTTCAGTACATAACTTAAAGGAACATTTTCTTACATTAAAAAGTTTTAAAAGTACTATTATCATACCTAGAAAAATTAATAATTCCATATTTGTTTCCCTATCTCAAGAACAGCCTAAATTTATAGCTAGCTTGTCTAAAATAGGATTTAACCCATAGCAGTATGCCTCTTAAATCTGTTTTAATTTCTTTCTTGTCACTGACTTGTTGAAAGGACTAGGTGAGTTTTCCTCAAGAATGTCTCATGTTTTGGATTTGTCTGATTGCTGGCTTCTGGTGTCATTTAACTTGTTCCTCTGTCTCCTGTATCTCCTGCAAATTAGAAGTTACAGCTATAATTCCAGTTCAATATTTTTAACAAAGTACATTACAGATGATGCATAGTTTATGTTATACTGTCCAAGGAGACATATTATCCGGCTTTCCAATCATCAGTGTTAAGACTAATCCCTGGGTTAAGATAATGACAGCCTGATCTCTCCACCTACCCAGTGATACACTTAGTGGTATAGCCTGTGTCCATAACACACAGTTGTATAAAGACTCTTACCTCGGTCCCTTTGAAGGTGGTCTCTAACCAGCTACATTAGAACACTGTAATTTCCAAAGAGCATTATTTTTATGCTGGGCTATACCCTTCTGGTTGTGTCATAATTCTTTCTTGGAAGCATCTACTATTATGTATTAAAGTGAATTAATTTAATTAGCAGCTATGGTGGTGACTACCATTTATGTTTAACCTGACATATATTCCTTCTTTGTATTATGATATTCTGTTCAGTATGTCAATAAAATAATAGTGAAAATAAAAGTAACATGATTTCTTTGGTTCATGGACAATCTTAGGCTTGGGAAAAGTAGCCGAGAGCAGCAACATACCCACAGATGTGCATTGTCACACCTCCAGGCAGAGTAAGCACCATTGGGGCAAGGCCCACAGGCCTATTGTAGAATTAGACATGGCCCTGAATGCTCAAAGGTGGTTCCAGCTTCGGGCAACAAGAGGAGATCCAAGCAGGCCAGAAGAATGCAGTATCCAAAGGGAAATCATGCAAAGAAGATTATAAATTGTGAAGATTAACTCAGGCAGCCATCCGAACACCCCTATCACCGATAAAGGTCTTCATCTGCACAATTCTACCCTGGGAGGACGTGGGGAGGGAGCAGCCTTACTGCTTCTCCAGCAGCATGGATGCTCCTGCACCAAGAAGTACCCCGTGAGGGAGGGCGGCTGCCCCTCAACAAGCCTGCTAAGCACGTGCCTTCATAGGCCTGTGCTCCAGACTAATACCCGCAACAGGGCTCTGATTTTTCACAGGGTGGCTTATGGGCAGTTTGATAAGGAAAATCCTACATGGGTTTGTTCCACACATAGTAGGATGCTTAGCATCCCTACCCCCAGGCCCTGTATGACAATAGCATCCCCAGTCATTATGACATCCAAAGCTGCCCTCCTAGACTTTTGCAAACACCAACTAGAAATAGTGTGTGTGTATGTGTGGGCACGTGTGTATGTCTGCGTGAAAGGAGTGTAACAACTCCAGTTGAGAATGGCTGGTATTGCTGGAAGGTTCCATGATAGTTCCAAAGTCAAGAGCAAGGAAGGGCCAGGGGCCCTGCTCAAATGATGTGCTCCCGTTCTTACTGCCCCGCCCCTCACTACACACTAGAGGCACACCCTAGGCCTGGGGGGAGGTTGGGCTGGGTGGGGACACGCCAAGTATCTGCTCTCTAGGCCCTCGGATGGTGCCTCCGTGGCTCCGGGAGTCTTCCTTCTCCCACCTCTCGCACCTCCCTCCACTTGACTTTGGCCTGATGAATGTGGCGGACGTCGTTCGGCAGTGCCAGGGAGCGTGTGAAGACATGGAACACTCTGCGTTGTGAGTGGGAATGTAAAATGGTATGGTCACCGCGGAAAACAGGGTGGCAGGTCCTTAAAAAAGTTAAAAGTAGAATTACAACAAAACCCAGCAATTCTACCTCTAGGTATATACTCAAAAGAATTGAAAGCAGGAGCAGGGACTCAGAGATACTTGTACACTCGCTTTCATAGCAGCACTGTTCACAAAAGCCAAAAGGTGGCAGCAGCCCAACCCGAGGCCCACTGACAAGCGAATGGATAAGTGAAACATTGTCCATACATACAACCGACTAGCACTCAGCCATAAAAAGAAAAGAAATCCTGACATGCTACAACATGGATGAAACCTGAAGACATGAAAGCTAAGTGAGATGTGCCAATTTCAAAACAAGAAATACCGTATGATTCCACTTATAGGAGATAACTAAAGAAGTCAAATTAATAGGGGCCACTTAGGAAGGTGGTTGCCAGGGCCGGGGGGAGGAGGCATGAAGAGTTTTTGTTTAACGGTTGCAGTTCCAGTTTTGCGACGTGAAAGAGTTCTGTGGATGAATGGTGGTGATGCTTACACAATAATGTGAATGGATTTAATACTGCTGGACGTTACACTTAAAAATAGGTAAGGTGATCCATGTATACTATGTGTATTTTACCACCATTAAAAGTTTTTTAAAAGTTAAATACTGAATTGGTTTGATAGTAAAAAAAAAAAAAAAAGTATTAAGAAACAACCAACCAGAATGATAAAACATAGGAACTTCAATCACAAATATGAGAGAGTAAAAATACTTTAAAACAAAGTGATTCAAATTCAAGATCGTGGCCTGGGGCACCGCACAGTGCCTCCTGCTCCGGTGTGAGACAGACCAGGAAGAGTTAACGTGGGGTCATCTGAGGCCTGGTGAATCGGCACAACAGACTTTATGCAGTCTTAAAAATTATACTTCAGGGCTATGTAACATCATGGGGAAATGTTGCTAACATGATGTTTTTAGAAACCAGAAAAATACAAAATGGCAAGGTAAAATTGAAGTGTAAAAAATTACATACCCAACCTGGCCAGGCGTGGCTCAGCGGTTGAGCGTCGACCTAGGATCCAGGCGATCTGGGTTCGATTCCCGGTCAGGGCACATGCCCGGTTGCAGGCTTGATCAATGACCCTCTCATCATTGATGTTTCTATCACTCTCTCTCTCCTTTCCTCTCTGAAATCAATAAAGATATTAAAAAAAAAAAAAAAATTACATGCCCATATAGGCAAGGACTAGAAGGGAAAAGGTAAAACCAAAAGTAGTTCCTTTGTTAGGACAGATTTATTCTTTTCTGCTTTAAAACACATCTTTTAAATTGTTAGGATCACATTTATACAACAAAGAAGAAGATAGTAAATTCAAGTGGAATTAAACAGAATTTCCAAAGTGCTCCCTCTCAGGAAAGAAATTGCTCCAAAAGGTACAAGATCACAATTTCTGACAGAAGAAATAATTTTGCTTTCAGTCTCCGCTACAATGAACAAATGGCAACTGTGGACAGGAAAAGACAAGGGTTGCACTGGGGTTGCCTGGCCACACCACACCATGTCCTCCTATTGTGACTGCTCTAGTTACATTCCCCGGGTGACCCCTGGCCCTAGAGATCTTTGTGTTTATGACTTTTCCTAAAAAGCTGCAACTGCTTGGGGACAACCTATGTCTGTTACCTTTGCAATGCCTGGCACAGTACCGGGGTACCGTTCAAGTCTCCTGCCAGGTGAATGCTAACTAAGTACCGGCTGCTGAGAGACTCCCACTTGTATCCATTCATGCTGGTGCGTGAGCGACGTCACAGAGACGCGCACGAGAAAGCAAGCCCACAGGAGAAAGCAAGCCCACAGGAGAAAGCAAGCCCACAGGAGAAAGCAAGCCCACAGGAGAAAGCAAGCCCACAGGAGAAAGCAAGCCTACAAGGGTTCGGGAGCATTGCAAACATCGGCAAGGTCCATGTGTCATTCTACGGATCAGCAGCATAAACTGGAGGGACAGCAGGACCCTTTTTCACGTGGCTCGATGCTGATTACATGGTTCGTTGTATTATGGTTCATCATATCCCTGGAAGCTGAACATGTCCAGACAAGAGAAGCCTGCGGGTGCTGCCAGCTCTGGGCTCCAGCGCTGAAGCCAATCTCAAGTATTCCTCTGTGCTACAAAGGAGGGCACCCAGGCTCCTAATGTTCAGTCGAGTCCTCTCTGCCCATCTAGTCATCAGCTTCAGTAGGTGGGGGGCTTAGATGGGAAACTTTATGTTCTTTTCTTTATGGCACAGAGCACAACAGGACAATAGCTCCCGTAAACTTCACAAGATAAAATCCTTAAGATTTCCTGTGTTCCCCAGGAGTGGCTGGAGAAATAGCCCTGCAGTTCCAAACACACAGACAATTATAAATATCCAGAGAAATACTCTGTCCACCACCATGGCCACATATTTCCAGTCATCTTCTACCTGAAAGCCAAACAAAAAGTTGAATCAATTTTTTTAAAAAATCAAAACCATAGAAAATGCTCTATTTCATAAATTAGCTTCTTCCTTTTCAAAGAAGATATTCCCGGCCATTTTAAAAGCAAATATCAGTATTATTCTGGTTAACCATGTCTCCTGTAGAGTACACAGAAGAGCTTTTGTTCTGTCTGAAGATGGTGGATACTCAACCCCCTCACCCCCACCTCTGTTACTGCCTCACGCAGCTGGCTGCAGAGCATGCAGGTCTCAATAAGCCAGGGTTCTGTGAGCGGCAAAGGACTGTTCCTCTCTGCAAGAAGCACTCCCAAGAAAAAGCTGCCCAGAAAGTATAGTGCTTGTCATTGGCACCAGTGGATACCTGACCCCTTGGCAAGTCTGGGAAACAGGTTTGAGGCAGGGATTGTAGGACACACATGCATGATGGAGGACCCCCTTATTCGGAACAGGCGGCCCTCTAGACCTCAAGCTCATGCTGGTTTTGGAGAGTTCATTGCATTTCTCACGTCCTTCAGGTTTTGACCGAACTTCTGCCAGAGTCTCCCTGTTTGCGTCTTGAGAGCCTTACTTGGTGGTGAGTAAGTCAACAGCAACTCTCCCCTAGATTTTATGAAGGTGTCACCATGAAGGGGAGTTCTGGGCTCACTTGTCCTGTGATGCGCCCCCACCTCCACCTTCTTCCCCTGCGCCAACAGGGCAGACTTCAGGTCTTGAGATATCCTTTCACTAGGAGACACGGGTGCTGGTAACTGCAGTGTGAGGTCAAAACCAAGCACCCCACGTGAGTTTTCAGATGCCCTCAGCCAGTCATTCTTATGGTGTGCAAAGAGGGTGTGATCTTCTCGAGCTCTCCCTTTGGAGAATGAAGGAGGCTCCTGCTACTATAGTTAGACGCTGGGCAGCAGGACCCAAATATGTTGGTGCTAAAAATACCCCTGAGACTCATTCAGTCAGCACCTAAATCCCTCTGAAGCAGACTAAGCAGGATTGGGGCTGGGGGAGGACTCACTCCTGCCTTCCTCCCACCCCCTCAGATTGCAAGCTGCTCTGTAGTCATTTCTCCTTCCCCTCTGAGGACAGCTTTGCCCTCTCCACCCCTTGTCTGCCACTGTTTCCTGTGCAGGAGCTCTTGGTTTCATTAACCAAGGTGGCCCTGAATGTTTATTTTAACCAGATTTCACTTCAGTTAACATTGCTGGAGGTAGAGATTTGCTCTGGGGCCACCTGACCCCAGGTGAGTCCACCCATAACTGCGTAACAAGAGATCTGGGTCTTAGACAAATGCTGTCTGACCCTCCTGTAAACAGAACTCACTCTGAACATCTGACCATGTCCCTAAAGTGCCTGTAGGTGCGCTGCAGGTGGAGAGGCCAGAGGAGACCTGCATTTACCTCTTTTGCTTCATTTTGGTTCTTCATGTTTTCTGCTATGAGTTGAACACTATTAATCACATCTTCCACTTCAGGCGAGTGCTGCGAATTTTCTGCTCTCCATTGTAAAGGCTGATGACTCAGCCTTCTCTTGCGGGTGGCAAGCTGACGTGATTCATGGCAGTGGCAGCATTCTCTAAGTAGTTTGGGTTCTCTGCAATTATTGAACTTGACTTTGGTAGGCCTGCTGGAAATGCTTTTGGGGTTTTTATCAGAATTTGTCTTCCTTGTCTTGTCCAGGGGTCTCTTCATCATCAGGATCTGGGGTAACAGCTGGAGGAAAACCGTCTTCACCCACTTGGGCATGGTGTGTGTTGTTGGGGTCCGATAGTGTATGTTCAACACAAATACAGTCACGGCGATGGAAAGGGTGACAAAGATCATGGTGAACAGTAAGTACTCACCCACCAGTGGGATCACAAGAGATGTGGATGGGATGGTTTCTGTGATCACCAGTAAAAACACAGTGAGAGAAAGCAGAACTGAAATGCAAAGTGTCACTTTTTCACCACAGTCAGAAGGAAGGTAAAAGACCAACACAGTTAGAAATGAAATAAAGAGACAGGGGATGATCAGATTAATGGTGTAAAACAGTGGCAATCTTCTAATGTAAAAAGAATAGGTTATATCTGTGTATATCTCTTCACAACAGTTGTATTTTATGTCATGCTTGTAGCCAGAAGCATCAACAATTTCCCATTCACTGTTTTCCCAAAAATCTTTCATATCCACTTTAGACCCAATGATTAGAAGATCAATTTCAGCTTTGTCATATGTCCAGGACCCAAATTTCAGGGAACAATTTTGATGATCAAAAGGGAAAAAAGTGATATCCATAGGACAGGAACTCTTGAAAATAGCTGGTGGAGTCCAGGTTATCATGCCATCGTATTTAAGAAGAGCTTTGGTCTTGCCTTCGACTTGGAAGTCGCCAACAGCACTGCAAGGTAAATCAGATACCATTAGGAACATCCCCTTTGCTATGGGTCAGCATGTGCCAAAGGCAACTTTGGAAAGAGGCTGCTGCTCTCAGACCCCCATACTTGTTATAAAGAACAATGTCAGGCTTCCAGATCTTATCTGCAGGAACACGAATAGTCTCGATGCCATCAAATTCCACTGGGTCCCAGCGCAATTTATAATCATTCCAGACCTAAAGGAAATAGAAGTCAGCGTTTTAAAAAATTCTTAACAAATTCCTCCCAGTGTTAATTCTATGTTTGGTCAGCAGGTTTTTGTTTTTTTGAAAAGTTAAGTTCTTAATTGAAGAGTATATTGGGCTCTATCAAAAATTGGAAGATTAAATACAAGGAAATAGGGGGATAGGTAGCTGAGCTGATTTTGGAAAATAGAAATTATCTAATGGGTATTAGATAATTACCCATTGATTATTAATTAGCTGGCTAAGGCTATAGGCTCAACTTCCATGTCCTGTGGACTATATTCACATTGGAGTACAATTCATTTCTAATACTAAAGAGGTTGTTCAACTATACAATGATGAGTTTGTTACAAAATCTGAGTAAAAGATTAAGATAAAGTAAAAAGCAAAATGGTGTAACATAAAACCAGCTGTTGGGACTCTAATCCACATCCTCTCATGCTCAGCTACTGGATTAATTGAGCAGGATCAAAGAGTGGGCAGACACCTGACTCTGGAGCTCAAGTTACAGATAAAAGCAGAATATTTGAGCCAGGCTGGTGTTGCTCAGTGGTTGAGCATCAGCCCATGAACCAGGAAGTCATGGTTTGATTCCTGGTCAGGTCACATGCCTGGGTTGCAGGCTCAATCCCCAGTACAGGGTGTGCAGGAGGTCCCAGTAGGAGACATGCAGGAGGCAGCCAGTTGATGTTTCTATCTCCCTATCCCTCTCCCTTTCTCTCTCTTAAAAAAAAAAAAAAAATCAATAAGAAATAAATATGTATTTAAAAACCTGAAGATTTGAGAGCAGAAACCGGAAAGAACAGAGTCTCTATGTCTCAGAAACTTTGTCACTAGATTTCTGCGCCCGTGGAGCTTGCATCAAGCCAGCTGTTGCCAGAGCTGAACTTTAGGCTTTGGAGACAGGTAATATTTTATGCGCTATCATAAGCTGGAGATGGAAAGAGGGAATGCTAGTGGATTTTATCCATTAGGCATTGTTAGGCTGACACATGAGTAACACAAGTCCAAGAGGACATGTGTTGTAGACACATACATGACGTAGCCACAGATTGGTTTCCATGATCTGGTTTACTTCATCCTGGGAAAAAGAAACAATGCTTTTAGCCTCAAGTGTATTGTTAGTCGAGGTGGATCTTAGAACAAGAATTACTACTAAAAAGAGCCAAATCTGAGTAATTCATGCTAACCGAGGGGAACAAAGAAGACTGAAAAGGCAAGTTACAAAAAGCAACCGGAAGTATGATATTCCACATCTGGTCTCAACCCTGTTGTTGTTGAAAGAAAATGTGGCTTAAAGACTGTTTTCAAATGTGATTTAAGACTCACCACTTCTATGAAGTCTCTCTGATCACCTCAGCCCATAAAGGTTTCTGAGTCCATGAAAGGAAAGAAGGGAGAGGAGAGTATGGGAAGGAGGGAGGGAAAACATCATGGATGGTGACAGGTTCATTGTTTTTATGGTCTTCTCCATGTCCTGCAAGCCTCCCTTCCTCAGCAGTGCCTCAGCACGCTACAGGCTCTGAATCCTGAGCCCAATTGCCCCTTGAAATGTCAGCCTCAGCTCACCATGGAGTTTTCCCGCTGGAACTTTCCACTCCCTCACAGCACATCCCCCACTCCCACCCAAGCCATTGCTGATTGCTTCAATCATTCATTACACAAATATTTATTGAGTACCTACTTTGTGCTCTGTAAGTGCTGTGACTACAGCGTAAACAAAATGGAAAAAAATCCTTACCTTCATGTGTCTTGGCTGCTAGTTGAGGAGAGAGAAAATCAATAATAGATATATAATGTAATGGAAGATAGTGAGAGGTCTATGAAGAAAAATAAAGAGGGACAGAGTGGTGTGTGTGCACACATATGTACACAAATCTGTTTTAGACAGGATAAACTAAGAAGGCTTCTCGGAGGAAGAGGTTTAAGCAGGTACCTAAATGATCTGAAGAGAGTCATGGGGTTATCTGGAAGAAAAGCATCACAGGCTGATATTCCAAATATAATGTGTTCATAGCAGGTGCCAACTCTCAGTGGGAAAGCTACTGAAGATACATCCAGAGCCTTCAGCAACCTTATAACACACATCTTGAGGTTTACTGATGGTTACTCAGTAGGTTCCCAAAACTTACCAACTTTGCTTCCCCAAGGTACACGAGTACCCTCCAGCATAAATGAGCTCAACTGTGGCTGCAAAAGCTGTGGCCAGACCTTAGACACCAGCCTGCTCTGGTTCACTGAGCTGCTCTGCAGTTCTCCAACTCCCCTGAAAAACTCTAACTGGTGACCTTGCCAAGTTTCCTTCTACAGATGGTTTTGTGTCAAGTCATGGTAAGCTTCAGGGTTTTAAAAGTTCAACGAAAGGAGTTACATTCATGGTTTCCTATTGGTCAGGGAAAGCAAAGAAATGGACTATCCCTTGGACAAGTAGTCCATGGCTTGACAATTACCCAAACCTAAGGTTTGTGCTTTCTGCTCATTAGACGATCACCTTGTGACCTACAGATTTTAGCAGAGGTCGTGTCAATAAACCTATTGGCTGTCAGTCAAAAATGGACAAGCTCTGCAGTCCAGAAAGGTCTTGGAGGTAACTGTCATAAGCATCTTCCAAAGACTGCTTCCTCTCTGTACATCAGTACACTGTATTCAGATAATTAAAATCAGGTGTTAATCTTGTCCTTACATTACCCCCGTCTTCCTACTTCCACTTCCACAGGCTGGTGAAACTCCATGTGATATGGACACCTCAGAAGTGTTAGCCAACTTTATCAACCAGGACTTGGTCTGGCAAGTCCTGTTCTATATCTAATTCCAGACCACACCAATGGCTATGGGCACTGTCATCAGATAGCTCAGTCAGAGGAGGCCAGAGACCCACAATACCACTCCACATTCCTGGGACCATTACCCTGTATCTCTTTCTTGGAAAAATAAATTAAATAAATTAGATGACACCCCACCTGCATTAAAGAATTTGAGTTACAATTTCAAATGGATTAACTTCTAGAGGCGCAGAGATTGAGATCAGAAAAGCCAGGTGTACTACATTTTACAAGGCCTTTGTCATTTCAGATATGCCAGGCCATTGAAAGCACTAGACAGGGGCTTTGTCCTGCATCCCT